TGGATGCTCTGAGGGTCTTGGCCTCCCTGCACAACTGGGTTCTCAGACTCTTCTGGAAAGAGCACTTTGGTTTCCTTTGGGGAACCACCCCTCTGTCACTCAGTCCATTTGGGTGGGGTGATGTGGCACTGGTTCTGCACTCCATCCACCACAGGAGTGGGCAAGTTCTAGGCGGGCCAGTCAGAGTGTACAGGTTGGTTTATGGAGCGCATGTGATCAGTTTGGGACGATGAGATTCAAGTCTAGGAGTTGTGCTGCAACTTAGGGAGAAAAGTTGCCCCTTTGTAGTTGGGATTGCTGAATGGGAATTGCCACATGGAGGGAGGTGTGACCTGAAGACACTGTCTATACTCCTGGATCCATCCAGACCTGACTTCCATGTATTCCTGTTTTTTTTTTTTTCCAAATATTGTGAAAAAAAATTGTGATCTGATAAATTCCCTGTGTAGCTTAAGCACTCTGTGAATCAAACTGAGAGTCCTGCTTGACACCACCTCTTAATAACGAGCTTCGCAGGGCTGTAGCTGATGGAGAAGTAGAGAGAGAAAGAATGAGGGGCCAGAAGTTAGGGCCATGACTATCCCAAGTACATAATCCCCCCCATGGCCTCAGTTACTCTGTCTACAAAACGGGGCTCACAGCCTGGCTTCTGTGCACTTTCTGCTTCCCTGACTTCTCTCTGCACCTGCCTCCTAGGCTTCACAAACAGAACTAATTTGATTTTTTTCCTTGTCACTGGCATTATTTTTCCTTTTACTTTGGGCTAGAAATTGACAGCTGTCTTCCACTCTCCATTCTTCCTTTCTCCTTCTTGGAGTAAAAGAATCCCACATTTTTTTTGTTGTTGTTTGTTTTCTGGTACTGGGATTTGAACTCAGGGCTTTGTGCTTGCTATGTAAGCCCCTACCACTTGAGCCATGCCTCCAGCTGGGCACATGGCTGCACCAAATAAAGACTCTTCACAGACTCCCTTGCAGCTAGGTGTGACCATGTGACCTTGTTCCAGCCAATGGGATGTGAGCAGGAGGGATATGTGTAACTTCTGGGTCTGGCTCTTAAAAGAGAGGGACAAAAACCAAACCAAACCAAAAGAGAGGTTTTGTGTCTGCCCTTTTCCTGGCTGGAATGATTTGTCTTGCCAGTGAGGGAGGGATGGCTGAGAACAGGCTGCAGGAGCCTCAGGTCCTGGGTGCTCAGGCTTACTCGTGGTGCTGCTGGACTCTGTGTGTGTGCACTCACTTTTGTCTTGTTATTTTGGGTTTCTTTTAGCACTGCTGCAGTTGGCAAATAAAAAAATACCCATTTCTCACCTTATTGAGAAATAAGATGAGATGAAGATTCTAGAAGAAGAATGAAGATGGCTAGAGGTGACACAAGAAGGCAGGTGAGCCTGTGTGTGTGACTGTCGCTCTCTCTTGGATGATCTTTCTCCCTGTGGGCCTCAGTTTCTCCTGATGCACACGGGAGACTAATTTGATAGGATGGACTCCTGAGTCCATCCAGCTCTGACCTTCTGTGGGTCTGGGGATTCTAGGACGGATGGTGCGATCAGCTATCAGCGGGACCCGAGAGCCCATAAATGGTTAAATGGGTCAGGTGGGGCCATGGTGGACTGGAGGCCACATGTCCCCCTCCAGGGCAGCAGATTCTCAGCCCTGCTGATTGCGGCCACATGGGATGGCAGCATTGCTACATTTCCCAATTTTTTGAGAAGAGCTGGAAATCCGATTTGGTCCGTGCAACCTCCTGATTTTTAAATATTGGCGACAAATTCACATTTTTCTGAACACTCTGGGGACCAAACAAAAATATCTGCAGACTGCGTTTGGCCAGTGGCCACCAGTTAGGAATTTCTGTTCTGTGATTTTCCTTCCTACGTGGAACAAATATTTATACCTGCCGAGTGGGAGGCGGTGCTCTACGCCCTGCGTGGAAAGCAAGGAGCGAAACAGGAAATGCAGTGAAACATTCTGGAGGCGTCCCCTTTGACCCCCAAGTGTGATTTATTTGCTTGGTTATTTGGTGGCACTCAATCCTCACGCTTGCTGGGCAGCAAGCCATGTCCACACACTTTTGTTTTTGAGCACTGGTTATTTTTCCTTTTTGCCTGGGCCAGCCTCGGACCAAAATCCTCCTCTCTCTGCCTCCCAGACAGCTGGGATCACAGACACACGCCACCGCGTCTGGCTGATTTGTCGAGATGGGGGTCTTGTTAACTTTTCAAGTTAGTTTTGAGCTAGTTCAAGGGGCGTGGCCTTGAACTGTGATTCTTCACCTCCCCGCAGCTGGGATCACGTGTGCGGGGCACTGCCCCTGCCCCCAACAAGTACTCGTTGATCAGTTCTGTCCTCCGAGCCGTGAGTGACGGGGAGCGTGAGGAATGCTGACTGTCCCTGCCCTCACGGTGCCTGTAGTCTACATGGAAGGGGGCACCAGGTCATGATTATGGTAAAATGGACGATGCATTTGTGGGGAGAGATGCGATTTAGACGGCAGGAAGTGGTTAGGAAAGGCATCTTGATGACATTAAAAATGAGAATGCCCTTGTTTGCTGGGTGTGGTGGCATGTGCCCGTTGTCCCAGCTGCTCGCAAGGCTGAGGCAAGACAATCGTGCTCACGAGTTTGAGAGCAGCAATAAAGCAAGGTATCATTTCAAATTAAGAAGAGAGAGAGAGACAGAGAGAATGGAAGGTAGCATTTAACTCTGAAAAAGAACATTCTGGAACATTCTAATCATAGCAAAGGCTTCCGGCATACCCTTCCCCACATCTCCTCAGCTGTACCCACTCCTGTGAAGGCAGAGGCCTTCTACACTTAGCTCCTGAGACTCCCCAGGAGGGACTTAGGGGGGCAGGGCAGAAGTGCAGGCAGACACCCCCAGAAAAGCCCTCAGCCCATGACAGCAAGGAGATTGTGGCTAAGCTCCCAGCTCCTCGCCTTTGGGTGGATCACCCCTGAGGTGTGTTTTGCACGTGAGGTGCACAAGCACTGTGGGACCTGCACTGGCGTCCTCTCCTGCCTCAGTTTCCCTCTCTGCTCCCAGTACTTCCTGGACCACTTCCCAAATACATGGCCACACACATCTCCATGTCAGGATCTGCTTCTGGGAGGAACCCAGTAGAGATGGAAAGCTGATCGGGACAGTGGCAGGAAATGGGGCCGTACCGGGTGCGGGCCCAGCCATGGAGGGCCTTGGGGCCTGCAGCCAGGGCTGTGAGTGGGGGACACTGCTGAGGCGTTTTCAGCAAGAGAGTGAAGTGACAAGCTGTATTTTAGGATGACCCTTCGCTCGGGCACCGTAAGGGGCAAAAGTAGAGGGGACTATCAGGTAGGAGGCCATACTGGGGTAACAGAGACTGGGGTGAGGGTGGCAAGGACGAATGACATAGCTTAGAACCCGGGGCCCAGAGAGGAGCTCTAGGTGTGTCTTTTCCTTGAGGGAGCTCCCAATTTGACTCAAGGGGTGGTAGTGAGATACATCCACAAAGGCCACACCCAATGTCACAGGCCCCACCAGTGCATAGGAAGTGAGTGGGTGCCCAGGGCTATAGAATTTCACGGTGGTCATCTTTAAGGACAAGAAGACTAGAGGAATTGTGTCCCTGGGGGTGACCACACCAGGGTGCATGGGACAACCTGAATGGCCTGATTTAGGGGGTGGCACACCTGCCTCGATGGCTGCCCAGCCTTCTCCCGAGCATGCCGTGGGTCTGGCTCTGCCACCCTCGTCTAAGCCACGCACAGCCTGGAAGCGCACACGGTGTCCCCACAGGCACGGTCCTCCTCCACGGCCAGAGGTCTCCGCACCCCCAATACCGTCTTTATGTCCTCACGGCAGAACGGCAGACAGTAAATCCATCTCACTAATTACACGTCCAGCCCGTTACGACCCCATAAAACCGCGAGCAGCTGGAAAAGCCATGAGGCGATGTCAAATCACAGTCCCGGCCTCCAAACACAAACAGAAAGATTTTCCAGGCGCTGGTGAGGCTCAGCGTCCCCACCCCGGCGTGGAAGCAGCTGTCCTGCGTCATTCATCTCTTAGGAACCTCTCTCTGCCCCTACATGTCCCCTAAAGAGATGGCGGATGCCTGGGCACCCTCCGTGGTCTGTTAAGAAGCCCATGGGACGCGTGCAGAGCGGGTGAGGTGACAGTTGTATCAACTGGGTTCAACAGTGCCTGGGAAGGTGGCTTCAGTGCCTTCTGTGGCCACCCACTGGCCGATGGCCTTGCCCAGAATCCTTTTATTTTTTGGTGGTACTGGGGTTTGAACTCAGGGCCTTCTGCTTGCTAGGTGGGTGCTCTGCCACTTGAGCCACGTCCCCAGCTCTTTTTGCTTTAGGTATGTTTCAGGGAGGGTCTCATGCTTTTCCCTGGGCTAGCCTCACAGCTGATCCTCCTACTTATGCCTCCTGTGTAACTGGGGTGACAGGTGTGAGTCACCATACTCACGCTTTATTTATTGAGATGAGATCTCGAATCTCCATCCTCCATATCTCTGCCTCCCAAGTATCTGGGATTACAGTCATGACCTACCACACCCATTGTGCCTAGAATTCTTTCTGTGTGGATGGTTCACCAGCACAACTTGTCAATGATAAAGATCCACTCCTCCCCCTCATCTCAGAAAAATGGAAGGAAAAGTAAATTCATTTGTCAGACACACCAGATGAACACGGGAGAAGAAAAGCCCTTGGCCTCATTCCCTAGCTTGATGGCTGCTCCTAGCTGCTGTGCATCCAGCCCTTTTGGGAAGGAGACAGTTAAGATGGCGGGTTTGCATGCTTTCAGGTAGATGTCGATCCCTTCGTGTGTTGGAAGAAAAGTCCAGGGACAGCTGATGAAATTTTCACATGACAAAATTCCACAGACATTTTCAACACTGGGCTGACTCAAAGGTGCAGCCTCAGACACTGTCCCCACGACTCCCAGGACAAAGCGGCCAGACAGACAGACAGCCATGGTGAGCCCAAGAGAGAGGGACGTGATGGAGCTTACCTTCCCGAATCTGGACGCGAAGGTCCCCGTGAGCAACGAGTGAAAGATAATGATGGTCTCATCTAAGTCCCACACGAACACGCGCTGGGGAGAGAGGACACTGGCTCAGCTCTGCAGGATGACCTCCCTCGGAGGATGAGTCCTGGACGCGAGGCGTCGCATCGCACAGGTGACCCAGGCTCATCTTAAAAACTCAAAGACGGAGACCCCAGGCCAAAAACAACAATAAAAACCTCACAACTCATTTGACAACATGACATACTGCCATTTTAATTCACCACGCACCTAAGCCCAGCTATTTCTGATCATTTCTGTTTTTAGCAAGTCTGTTGGTCACCTCCACAATTCTATTATTTTATTTATTTATTTTGGCAGAACAAGGGTTTGGACTCAGGGCTTTGTGCTTGTCAGGCAGCCGCTCTAGCACTTGAGCCCTAACCCCTAGTCCTTTCTGCTTTCGCTACTTTTTGAATACTTTTTCCCAGGGGTTGGTCTTGTACCAAAATCCTCCTGCCTCTGCCTCCCAAGTAGCTGGGATGACAGGGGCATGCCACTACGCCCAGCTTATTGGTTGAGCTGTTGTCTTGGCAACTTTTTGTCTGGGCTGGTCTTGAACCATGATCCTTCTGAGCTCTGCTTCTTGAGTAGCTGGGATTAGAGGCATGAGCCACCATGCCCAGCTAACTCCACAGTTCTAAATAACATATTTATATCTTTACTCATGGATTTGTCAACAATTTGACAATGTCTTTTGGCTGGGCCATCTGAAAGGTGAGAGTTTGGTTCATGGGAACCTCCCAAATTGCTCCAGAACCTTACATTTTACATATGCGAAGCTCCCCTCCCCCTGATTTTCAATTCCATCAGCTGCGGACATCCTTCCTGGGCTGAAAGAGTCAATCCAATATGGAAGACATGGCATTGGTGACCTACCTTTCCCCTCCCTCTGATAGCTAGTAGCGTTAGTTTCAGATTTGTGTTGTCAATGTGGATAAGCTGGTTTCTTCCATGTTTGGTTTTGTATCTGTAGGCCTTCCGTGCTTTGATTTTACAAGTTGGGAACCAGTGGAGGACATTAACAGTGGTCACTGTTCACCACATAGCCAAGTGACAGGTTGGGACTTCACCTTCCCCACGGCCTCGGGTCCACATTAAGAAAGATTCTCTACCATCAAGCTCATGTATTCTCCTTTTCTAACCTTCATTATCTTGTGCTCCTCCTGACTAAAACAGGTCCTAGCTCAGCTTATTCATAGAGGAATCACACCTGTCTCGTCTAACTTTTGCTTTTACTATAATTTGTTAATTGTGTTTATTTTTTCTTGGTTGCCATAATGTACCACTATCAATCTCACATTTAGCCCCGCCCTCTGTCACAGAGACATGCAACCTCAGGGACAATGTGGATGGGATTATTTTGGGCTTGTTGTAGAACTAGCCTCCTGAGATTTCCCTTGAGGGCCTTTCTGGGATGGAGCCACTATTACCTGGATTTCAGGTTTTTCTTTCTTGGTTTTATTCCTTGTTTTACTTGGGTATATCCCTAGGTTTCTTTTTCTGAATGGTGCATGCAAAGCAGTCTTCTTGAATTCTTGAAAATCTGCTATATTTATTTTCTGTATCATTGCTCTGGGTATAGAATTCCAATTTGAAAACAACGTCCTCTAGATCTTTGGACAAATTCCTCCATTATTTCTAGTGCCCAGGACCATTGATAAGAACACTGATGCTCCTCAGTCTGGATCTTTTCTTTTCACTCAGTGTCCTCAGATCCCACGAGGACATAGCTCACTTTTTTCATGCGTACAGTTCAGCACTTGAACACCTTCAGTCCAATGATGTGCGTCTTTCTACCGCTCTGAAAATTTTTATTTCAGGCCTCCAATCCCCTCTCATCCTCTCATCTTTTTGTTTTGTTTTGACTGTTTTTTCTCTGGCATTCCCAATCATCAAAATTTTTAGGGACTATTATTGATTTTCCTTTTAAACAATATATTCTGTTTTTGGTCTTTTTGACCTGTGTTCTGAGAGAATTCTCTTCCAATCCATCTATTAAATATAAAAATTTCCAATAACTTTTTTTTTTCAGTACTGGTGTTTGAATTCGGTATCACACTTGCTAGGTAGGTGCTCTTACTGCTTGAGCCACTCCGCCAGCTCCAATAACTGTTTATTATCTGAACATTCCTTTCCAAATACCCTCCACTTCTTATTTTATGGATGTAAAAATCTCCTTAAATTTTTTTTTGTGTGTGGGACTGGGGTTTGAACTCGGGGCTTTCCACTTGCAAAGCAGGCACTCTACTACTTGAGCCTCACCTCCAGTCAATTTTGTTCTGATTATTTTGGAGATGGGGTCTTGATGAACTATTTGCCCAGGCTGACCTCAAACCAAGATCCTCTTGATCTCAGCCTCCCAAGTAGTTAGGATTATAGGCATGTACCACTGTGCCCAGCTGTGATCGTTACTTTTAAGAACAAGGTACCTTAATGATATTATTATTATATGTGTGGGTGATAGTGTGGAGGAGAGGCAAGTGTACCTACTCACTCTGCCACCTTGAGCAGGTCACCTTTTAAAATTCTCCGGAGGTCAATGACTGTTTATACAATGGCATTTGCCATGCATTTGGAAGAAAAGAGAAGTCACTAGAATGCAAAAGGCAAAGTAGCATCTCAGGTTCTCTAGTTCAGAGGTTTTTGAAGCAATCAGTAGAACTCAGTATGGTTTCATGAATTTTTTTGCTCAGTTATGTTTATAAATTATGCTTGTCCTGGATCACAATTTTAAGCCTTTTTTTTTTTTTCCTGTACTGGAGATTGAACCCAGGTCATTGCTCTAGTGCCCTCTCTCTCTTTTTTTCTATTTTTGGTGGGGGGCAGAACTGAGATATGAACTTAGGGCCTCACGCTTGCTAGGCAAGTGCTCTCCCTCTTCAGCCACACTCCTGGCCCTTTTGTTTGTATTTTGTTTCTGAGACAGGATCTCACTAACTTTGTCCCATCTGGTCTTGAACTTGAGATTCTCCTGCCTCTGCCTCCTGAGTAGCTGGGACTCCAGGTGTGCACCATCACAAGTAAGTTTCCTATTATGGGTCCTGATTAAAAAAGTGTTTGAAAACCACTGCTTTTGAGAAGGACTTCTGAGGTTCAAATTGCTAAATCTTACTTCACCTCAGCTAATGGAGTGAATCATTTAACCTTAGAATTTTTGGTTATATATGTATCTTGAGACAGGATCTGTCTGTGTACTCCAAGCTGGGCTTGAACTGGAGTTCCTCCTGTCTCTATATCCCGAGTACCGGAAGTACAGGTGTCTACCCACCACTATTGGCTTAGTTACAGGATTCTTAAAAAGCCACTGATTATTTTCAAACTCAGTGCAGCTTCATTAACGAATCCATTGTGTCCCCTTCTCCACCACCTCACCCCTCCCCAGCCAAGGTTCCCAGGGGATTCTGGTGCTGTTCTGTCCAGTCCCCCATGATTTGGACGAGAGTGGGTTCCTAACCCCACATGGGTCTGAGACCTTCTTTGGGATACTTAAAACCGAGGCCTAGAAAGAAGGTCACTGTCTTCGGGGCTGTTGGTGGCTCAGCCTGGCCATGTGATCTGAAGAGGAGAGGACGGTCTGCAGAGGGACAGGAGCACAGTGTGGGGATGGAAGGGCCCACTCTATCCCAGAACATGGCTTCAGTCGTTAGCAGAGTGGCTGGGAGCAGAGACAAGCCGGGCACCAGTGCCAAGCACTGCAAAGTCACCACGACTGGAGGATCTTCCCCAGCACATGGGCACCTCGCAATCCATAGCCAGTTCCAGTGCCTCTGCGGCACCCTTGCCTGAGTTCTAAGAGGGTCCTTTGTCCTTAAAATAATTCTGCTTTTCTGCTAGCTAGCTCAAGCTGGCTTCTGGCACCTGTAGTCCAAGGATTTTAACTAATACACACTCGGAATTTTCCTCCTTTCCACTTGGACATGATTGTCTCTCCTGGGCTTCAGTCACTACCATACCTGGCAGAGATTTAAGAGGTGCGACCCAGGTTGACCTCCCCGCTAACAGTAAGCCCAGAATTGAGGTGTGGCTCCCACCTCTCCGCTGTTCTTCCCCATGGTACCTCCTCTGGGATGGAGAAGCAGATGTTTCCAGAGTAACACCCCTATGACGCGACTTCCATGTTCCACCCCCAGCCCCTTCTGCTTCATGGAGAACGTTCTCTTCATTCCCACTGTCCCCACCAGGAGCAGAAGCCATGGTAGGTGACCAAACAGTTTTTTGGAGGAATTATAATGTATGTGTTGCTCACTGTGTTTTCCACAGCTCTGTGGCTGGAATGTGGGGGACAGGCAGTGGTGACAACCTAAAGCCAGCTAGCAGGTTTCAAAGATTCAAACCCAGTGAAACGATTTTGCAGGGCCTCCTGGACTTGGTGGGATGAGAAGCCAGGCACAGTGGCACATGCCTGTGTTCCCAGCACTGGTGAGTCCAGAAGTTCAAGACTAGCTTGAGCCACACAGAGACCTGCCTCAAGAAAAACAAAGGGCAAGGACAATGGGAACACTTGCATTGTGGTGGAACCCTAGCTGGAGTCTCTCAGGAGGTTCACTAATGGGGGGACAAGTGTGATGTTCAAAATGTGTCATGCTTTCTAGTACAATCAGCACAGAAGCCAGCCGTAAACACCTGTGCAGCTGTGCTAGTGACGCTTCTAATGTCTCAGAAGTGGCACTGTGGTCTGGGTCTGGGATGGGTAAGAGCATCCTGGTTGTTTCGACCCCCCCTTGAGGGCTGTCTTGGTGGGGCTGTCAGTCAAAGGGCCCAAGCCAAGCCCACAGGATGCTATCTCCTTGAATCTGACCTTGAAGAAGTGACCTGGCTGTAAAAGGCCTTGCTCTTGGTGGGGTGGGCACCATGGTGGTCCCCTGGCACTTCCTTTTTAATCTTCATCTCACGGTCTCCTCTCCCTGTCATTCCCAACTCATAGGTTTCTTTTTGTCCAAGTGAAAGGACTGGGTTGAGTTGCTTGCAACCAAAGAGTGTTGTCAGTGCTCGAAAGTCCTCAGGCTCAGCAAGGTTCCCATGTCCTGTGGGTGTGGTGACCAGCAAGCAGTTGGAGTTGCTGACCATGCAGGCTTTGACCTTGAGGACAACAGAGGCAACCAAGCCTCTGTCACACAGGACAGAGGACAGTAGGTGCCTCCCCAGAACTGCAGGACTCTACAGTTCTGGGAGGGAAGAGGCCCCATTAATGAGATGGAATTCCCATTAGCCTAGAGGGAATTCAGGGTCAAGGTCACATTGACTTGAAGGCAGTGATGAAGGCTGTGTTTGTCATCGTGTCTGAGTTTGTGACTGAGCTTTGTGGCTGTTCACAAAGCATTACAAGTGGGGAACACTGATGGTGCGTGGGCCTCGCCTGGAACCAGCTGAGGCTCTGCTGACCCTTCTCATGTTCCAAGGTACATCCAGCCAACAGGCGAAGTACAAACCAGGAGTCTGCTCATTTTCCTCCGTGGACAGATAATGGCCACTTCTGTCTGCTGCTGGGGAACCCATTAGGCCCATGTTTCCACTGTGGGCTGTCTCTGGGAGAAATTTCAGTCTGACTGGTCATCCTACACGTGCTTTGTCATGACAAATGCTGCAGCATGAGGACTAGTGGTTCTCAGCCTGGGCTGTGTGCTGGGGAGTTTGAAAAGGTGGACACCTAGGTGCCCCTTGGGGGCCTGGGGTGCAGTTTGGGATGATGGTGAGCCTGATGTGTGCTTGGGCTGGCATCAACTGCCTGAGACACCAGAACCATGGAAAGGCTGCAAAGGCATCTAAAGTTGCCTGCAGGGAGATAGGACCACTTAAAACCATTATGCCCCATCCTCCCTTGGTCTGGGATGGGGTCAGGCATCTGTGTTCAACTAAGCATCATGAAGATTCTGCCACCACCCCAACACAGCTGATGCCCTATCCATCTTCTTCTTTACTAGGGCCTCCTAGGTGTGGCCCAGCCCAGGGCGTCAGCATCCCACGGGACTTGTCACACATGCAAACTCTGGCCCTGCCTGGGGACCACTCAATCAAGAGGCTCAGAGAGGGTACCAGGGGTCCCTCAGGCTACTTGCATGCTGTATGGGGGGACAGGCACTGTTTCGTTCTGGCTTCAAGGCCTTCCTCTCCAGCCTGGTCACTCAGTACTGCTCCACACCGCCAACCCAGTTCCTCCTCACTCTCCCTTCCAGTTACAAAGGGCCATGCGCCACCTGCGTGGAGAGTCTTTGTCTCCACCCACTCTCTGTGGAGACCACAGAGATCATGTTCACCAGACTCAAGTCCTTTTTGTTACCTCGATCTCACTGTCCCCTGCTGGGGAGGGGTCACTGTTCCTCTTTGACCGTCCCCGGAGCTTCCCGTCGGAGGCCCGATGTGGCCTGTCTGTGTCTCCCTCTTTTGCAGGTGTGGACGGTCCATTGTGTGTGTTGTACTCACCTGGAGCAAGAAAGAGGACGGTGAACAGGTCAGAGGCTTTGCTGGGCATTTCTTCCCAGGAACTAACACACTGACCCTAAATAGCACGTCCAGCCCCAAAGGCAGCAACGGAGGTAGAGATCATAGAATGAAAACTGCTTTTCAATTGCCGTTCGTAACGTCACAGCGTTCTATCAGTCTGACAAATATTTGTCAATCAGGCACTGTTCTGGGCACTGGAGGCCCAGTCTTGGGTTTCACAGCATTTAAAACACCTAGCGGGAGGACGTTAGACAAGGAAGTCAATTGTTAGTGGGCCAGTGGGCCACGTGTCACATGGAGCCAGTCAATCAGAGCTCAGAGAGGTTGCTAATTCATACAGGGAGAGTCAGGGGGCCTCATGGGTGAGAGGACTTCTGTCAGAGAGCCGGGGAGCTCTAGGTACAGTGGGCAGTTTGTGTGTATCATCTAGATCCTCGGAAGCCTGAGACTCTCTAGACCAACCACAGGAGGTTTACACGTACCTGTGCACCCAGCCCTCCTACTGTCATGGCTTAACTGTGTTCCCTGTGTGCACAGGTGACGGCCTGATCCCCAGAGTACTGGTGCTGGGAGGTGGTGGGGTGGTTAAGAGGTGGGGCCCACTGGGAGGTCCTCAGGTCAATGGGGGGCATGTCCCTAAAGTGCATGGGATCCCAGCCTCTCAGACTTCCTGTCTGGTGATGTGACCTCTAACTCTTGCCATACTTCTGCTATTGGGATGCCATTGGCCATGAACTCCTCACCAGAGCTGGGCTGATACCTTGAACTGTGAGCAAGATAAACCTCTTTTCTTTATAACATTAGCCTGCCTCAGGCACTTTGTTAGGGCAATGAAAAGCAAATCTTTCTCTGAGAGAGTCCCACAGAGGGAAATGGTGTATGTGAGAGTTCCCTATGTCTTATTCCTGCAGGACTTGCTTCTCTCTCCCTCTCTCTCTCTCTCTCTCTCTCTCTCTCTCAGCAGTACTGGGGTTTGAACTCAGGGCTTGGCACTTGCTAGGCAGGCACCTTACTATTTGAGCCATGCCTCCAGCCTTTTTGCTCTGGTTATTTTGGAGATAGGATCTTGCTTTTTGCCCAGGTCAGCCTGGATCACAATTCTCCATCTCTGGGACGGCAGGTGAATGTTACCACACTCTCATAAGCCACTGGTGCCCAGCTCCATTCTCTCTAAAAGCAGCCTTCAAAGCTTTCCCTGCCGAGACTTGCTGATCTGAGACTTAAGTGGGAGTGTGTGTGAAAACATCTAGCACAGGCCTGGTGCTGAGGAGGTGATTGGCGTCGGCTTGTCTTCCAGCGTGACAGGGCCACAAATCCCTGTGGATCAGTGCAGAGGGGCCCAGAGGGCGACACCACATGGAGGGCTGCCTGCTGTGGCCTTGGGCAGTTGTCCACAGCTCAGGCCAGGGGGCAGCATCTGTCCCTACACCAGCATAGCTGTGCTGTACAGAGGGCCTTGAAAACATGGCTTTTAATATACTTTATCATCTGGTTTACCTAATGAGGGAGCCCAGGTGACTGGAACTGCATGCTGTGCCCTATAAATTAGTGGCAAATTTTGAGCCTGACCTTGTCATTAAAGAGCGACAGAAGCGTAACCTGGTGTGGAACCTCAGAGGACACCCTGCCCCACACTCCACTTCACTTGTTTTAGCTCCCAAATACATCCTGCAGACACCATCCCTCCCTCCACAACTGCCAGTTCTTGGTCATGGGGTGGGGAGCGGTGGCGCGGAAGGGACAAATGCCTTTGTCTAACAGTTCTTGACCATGATCTGACACTTTTTCCTATCACCCTCCAAAACTCAGGAGATTCAACTTTGTTTATTTAATATGTATAAAACTTTCTAGCACAGTAGGGGCACAATAAGAAAAGATGTGATTCCGATGGCACGGTTGTCTCCTACATCCCACATTTTCAGGACACAGCATCAGAGATTCCCAAACACAAGTTCGCAAAGCCTTCCTTCAGGAGAAAGGTCTTCTAAACGCACAGATGCTGGACGGTGATGCAGTGAGGTCTGTCGTGACCCATGTGCTTGTTCAAGTCTATCGGGGCTTAGAGAACATTTGTTCTCCATTAAAACCCAGACAAACGTTACTTTTAAAAAAGTAAATGCCCACTACCTAAGCAAAGTCTAAAATAATGTGTGTCTGTGAAACCAATTTAGTGAGGATACAAAAAATTGAAACCCATAGGCTGGGCCCTGGTGGCTCGGGAGGCTCGTGGTTCAAAGCCAGCTGAGGGCAAATAGCCCTTTATCCAACTTTACATTCTTGAGAAGGAAGAGGTCAAGGTCAAGGTCACAGATGAAGATGCCAATTGATACAGTTCCTGATGAGGGCTCTTTGTTGTCTTTTAAATGGATACATTCTTGCTGTATCCTCACACTCTTACAAAGTCACAAATACCATTCATGAGGGCTCCACCCTCAGGCCAGAATCACGTCTGATGACTAGAGCTTCCGCGTGTGAGTTTCGGTGTAGAGGGCACAAACATTCAGGCCACAATGTGCTCTTCTGCTAAAGGACGTCCCTTTTACCCTCTCCTCCTCATCCAGAGATTTTGGAAGAGACGATGGATTTCCTCAAATGCTTCTTCTGCATTTGCTGAGACAATCTTCTTCTCTCCTATTTGTTGATATTGAAAATTATATAGATCGAGTTTCAAATTTTAAACCAATCTGTGTCCCTGGGATAAATTCCACTTGGTCACCATGTATTTTTGCCCTTCCTAATCTATTGTGAGGCTTCATTTCTTGTTCAGACATGTTGGGGGCACATTGGTCTGCAGATTTCTTGTAATGCTTTGTCTGCTTTTGGTGTCAGGGTAAGGCTGGTCTCATTAGAATGAGCTGGGAGTCCGCTGCTTCTTCAACTTTCTTGGAGAATTTGTGCAGAACTGGCATTTCTTTCTTAAGTGCTTGGCAGAATTAATCTGTGAGGACATCTGGATCTGGCATTTTCTTTATGATTTTAATGACAGCAAAAAATCAATTTATTGACCCATACAGGCCTACTTAGGTGCTCTTTTTCCTCTTGTGTGAGCATTTGTTTTGTCCTGCAAGGAATTTGTGCATTTCATCTAAATTATAAGTTTCAGGTTGCACTGCCAACCCCTGTAAGGTCTGTGGTGACACCTTTTCTCTCATCTTGTTGGCAATTTGTGTCTTCCTTTTCTCTAATATTTTTTCTGCTTCCAGAATGCACTGATTTCCACTCTGATATTATTTCATTTCTTCTGCTTACTTTGGGCTTAATTTGCTCTTCTTTATCTAGTGTTTTTATTTTCTTTCTTTTTTTTACTTTTTGGCAGTATGGGGGTTTGAACTCAGGGCCTCTTGCTTGCTAGGCAGCACTCTACCACTTGAGGGCTTTTCTTTGTAACGTTTCTTTTCTAATTTAGGCATTTAGCACTATCAATTCTCCTTTACTGCTTTCATGATGTCGCCTAAACTTTGATATGCTGTGTTTTTATTTTCATTCAGTTCAAAGTATTTTAATTTCGCTTTGATTTCTTCTTTGACCCAGGGGTTATGTAGAAGTGTTATTTAGCTTCTAAATATTTGGGTATTTTCCAGAAATATTTGTTATTTATCACTACTTTAATTCCACCATTGTCAGGGGACACAGTTTGCCTGTCTTGAATTCTAATGCACTGAGACTTGATTTATGGTTCAAGATATGAGTCTGTTTTGGTAAATACACGTGCTCCTGAAAGAATGTGTGTTGTGTTATTAGGTAGAGGGTCACATTTTACACGTAGTTCTGCCTCTTGCTTTTTCTCACCTATGATAATAGCTCAGAGGACCACATAAGCACAGGCAGATCTGCATCACCCTTTTGAGAGCTGTATAGTATGCCACAGGTGAGACCACCATTGTCTTTAGCCTGGTTCATGTTAAGAACCTCCAGGTTGTTTCTAGTCATTTGCCACAATGCCAGTGCAAGTGTTTGTATCGATGTAGGACTTTACCTTTAGGACAAATTCCTAGTAGTAGAACAGCTGGGTTTTGGGTACATGCATTTTAAATTTTGTTGGATGTTATCCAGTTGCATGGAAGAACCAAATTTCTTTTTGAGAATTAAAAAAAAAAATTTCCTTTGGCTGGGCGCTGATGGCTCACGCTTGTAATCCTAACTACCTGGGAGGCAGAGATCAGGAGGATCAAGGTTTGAGGCTAGCATGGGCAAACAGTTAGAGACCCTATCTCCAAAATACCCAACAGGAAAAAGGGCTGGTAGAGTGGCTCAAGGGGTAGAGCGCCTGCCTAGCAAGCATGAGGACCTGAATGAGGACCTCAGTTCCAACCCCAGTACCACAAAAAAAATCTCCATTGGTTGAGGGAGATGACCCAAAGAGTTAAAAAGAGTCCTCCAGCTTCTCTTTAGGTAATCTGTAGTGCATTTAGATGTGTGAAAAGAACAAATCCTTAGGTGACAGCTACTGCTGTGTTTCTTCCTTTGAGTAGTGACAGCTGTTCCGATTTTGCTCTCTGCACCAGCAGCTGTCCTGCTGTCACTTGCACATGGATGGCTGGCACCCACGCAGACACTGGCATGGATGTGTGTGTCCTGTGGCAGGGCGGGATCAAGGGACACGACGGGTGGGTGGGATCGGTCTGTCTGTGACCACAAATTGCTGGGGCTTCTGCAGCTGGGAAACAACCACTCAAGGTTGTTCTGGATAGTTTCAAAAGTGGGGTTTTTATAGGCAACTTTAAAAAAGTGCCCTCTGTGTGTATGGTGTGTGTGTGAGTGAGTGTGAGGGTGCACACACGCCTTTCCTTACCATAGGTGCTGGGGAGACTGGGCAAGAGACCTCAGGCAGCGAGTGTGACGATTGCCTGGGTCATGACATCTTATGTGAGTGTGTTAGACACGAAATAGAAAGCATCTCATTGTCACTTGTTGTCAGCCCTGTGACCAAGGGGCGAAAGAAGAGCAAGGACAAGTTCAGAAACTCTAAGGAGTCGGGGTCTTTGGTGTCCAGTTTGCTCCTGGCGGCCTCTACTTGACGTTTTCCCTCTTATGGTCCTCTCTGCCCTAATTTCTCCTCAGTTTTTTTGTTTGTTTTTCTCCTTTGCTGAAACCAGTCTGCTGCAGCTGTGTTCTGACACAGCTTGAACGGTCAGAGACAATTCAAGATAACCAAGAGGAGAAGCTTGGTGGATGTCGTATTCTTCAAAGAGAGTCATGCTCACTAAATACTCTAGAAAAAGATTGCAATGACCAAACCCAGGGTACAAGCCTGCACTTTCCCAAGAGTTGACTTAAAATGCTTGGCCGCGTGGTCTCCATAGTCATCAAACCAAGGATAACTAACTGTCCCCGAGTCACGGGACACCCAGGGCTGGACCAACAGCCACATCAAGAGCCCAGGAACAACAGCAAACGAGTGTGGGGGCATGTCCCTACTGCTCCTTTCCTGACCATCAACCAATGACTGTTTAAAATTAACAAACAGCCACACAACCGCCATGATAGTTTAGCTTCTACCTAGCCTAGAACATCTGTAGGCTCCAGAAAAGAAGACAAAAGAACAAACCCAAAGCTGAGTAGGGTGGTGCCTGCCTGCAATCCCAACATTTGAGAGACAGAGGCAGCTGGGCTGCATAGTGAGACCCTGTCAAAAATCTCAGCGAAATTCAATGGTTTCTAACTTTAAATTTAGACATCCTGAGTTTTTGTTGCCATGTTATTTGGGGTGGATGAGCCCAGATCACCTCAGAGAGGAGAAGACCTTGGGCCTGGCAGACCCGTGGATGGGTGATGGCCGAATCCCCAGCTTGGGAGATGGTTGCACAGGATTCTGTACCAAGTTCTCTGATCACAAACAGGCCTAGTCAGGCCTGGCTGCATGCAGTATAGACGGGATCCAAATGGGGTTTTGGGTACCTGTTGTTTTGTTCATCCAGGGTCTCTTCCGTCTTCTGGTTACTGTGGTTTGGGTGGTGTTGCCCCATCTCCAGCAAGTATATAAATGAATATTTGCTAGTAAGTTTATAAACAAGTGACTTGAGAGGACCACACAGGTGTGCACTTGGCACATAACAGATGAGCGAGTAATACTGATTTCCTTTCCTTTTTGGACCAGGGCTCACAGACTCCAAGGCCTACATAGGCCTGGCAGGTAATGAACTTGAGGTAAGCTGGTTGGATGTGGAATCCTGTGTGTCCTTTTTAATGGGATAGACATTCATAGTTTCAGTTAAGCTTTGTTCCTTAGAAATGTGGCTAGACGGGCGGGGCCTTTCGAGTGGAGCCAGAAATAAGAATTTTAGGTTAACAGCTGTACTTCAAACATGGATGCTGTTAACCACACACTCAGAAAGGTAACGACATTTGCAGCTTGGATTCAGCCCTGGGGGAACCAGTTCATTACCGTTGGAACCTGTGCTCGGGTCCCTCCTTCCCCCAGATCCAGTCGTGAAGGACCAGAAAAGGTGCCACACATACGTACCTGCCAGTGACTCGGAACTCTGGTTGGGGACGTTGTGAGAAGCCTCCTGGAGGACGTAGGTGGACGTGGAGAGGGGCGAAGGGCAGATGCTGCTGGCGGGGACGTAGGGAGGGCTGTAGGATGAGCTGTAATACTGGGGGTATTGGCTCTGAGGGAAGCTGGAGTAAGAAGGATAGTCCTAGAAAGAGAGACAAAGTCAAGGACATGAGCGAGGAAGCCTGGTGGGCTGGGCCCCAGTCAGCACAGGCCTTCTGCATCTCTCTCACAGAATTAAAAGTCTCTTTTGGCAGGGACTGTCTTCATTTTGTTTTTTTCAAAAGCAGCTTCTGAGAAGAGCAGTCAAATGCAAGGAACTTGTGGAAGGCAAAGGTGACACCAGGGAGAGGAAGAGACGCGGAGGAAAGCGCGGCAGCCCTGCTTTGGCTCTGACATGGGTGGCTGGGCCAAATGGCCCTGGGGATCTGAGGACGTAGTGTAAAAGCTACCCGGGGGACAGGGAGCTGGGGCGTTGATAAGCCAGCCCCTGTCTGTCCCTAGGACTGCTCGCAGTGCTGTGTTTCCCTGGAACTTCCTGCCTGCCCTTGCACTGGTTCTAGAAAAAACCCAGGCCCAGGGATGCGGCTAGAGGTCAGCAGGTGACCCTGAAGCTGGGGGCTGCGTGGTCTTGACAGTCTCTGTTCATCACTATTGTGTCCCAGGCATCTACAGTAATTCAATGAATACTGGAGAAAAAGTGAGCAAATGGGGAGTGATGAAGACCCCATGTCCCAGGAAGCACAATTTTAGGCTCGTTTTAGGGAAGAAGCTGCAAAGACAGCACCCCTGTAGCATCAGGGGCTATGAGGGAGTCATGGACAGCAAGGCAGCACCTGCCAGTCACCTCTGGTCCAGTTTTGCTCTGACAGGCCAGCCCTTCCACCCCCCAGCAAAGTGGGCCCCGCCATTGCCACCACCCTGCAGGGAACTCAGAGAAAGTTCATCGTCTTGGGCCCCAGCCTGGCTCTACCGGCAGAATTTCTGGGGAGCTCGTGTTTCCAACAGACAAACACCCAGAATTAAGACCTCTGCATTCCAAAGTCCTTTTTCTCTTATAAGCATTTTATCTGGAAGTATACAGAATTACATGAGACAGTTTTTGAATTCTTCTGAGCTATTTAGTTTCCTCATCTCACTTGTATTTCTCATATTTAACTCCATGACAAAGCCAACTTGGGGTCTTTCATCCTGAAATAGTGTTAAGACTTATAGGAAAGGTGTTCAAGAGTTCTGTGCACCTTCGGCAGGTTTATTCTTTCTGCGTTTCTGGGTTTTTGAGACAGGGTCTTGGTATGGAGCCCCGGCTGGCCTGGAACTCGTGATCCTCCCATCTCAGCCTCCCAAGGGCTGGGGTCAGGCAGGCTGGTGCTTAACGAGCTCTCTATGGGAACTCTGGAGTCATCTGGATGTAGTAACATTTGGGACGCCCCCACCGTGCAGGGGCTGTCGGCACTGGGGAGCAGAGGTGCAGGACACCCCAAGAGGCTCACAGTCTTGAGAAAGGTCACCTGGCACTCATATAGTGTGAACTCTACGGTCATGTATTTGTGGCTCAGGTCAGGATAGCACCTGTAATGCCAAAACATCCTGGAAATCTCATAAGATCTGTCCAGTGACCCCCCAAAGCCAGGCCGAGAACAGTGTCTGTGGGATGGTGGGGGACTTCTGGGGGAACCAGGGGAGGACGTGAAGCAAACCTGGGGCACGCTCCCAAAGCTGGCTGTGCTGCTCAGTCCATTGGCGCCTTGATAGAGCCCTGATGAGCCTGCAAGAGGAGGACAGGGGACAGTGAGATTTCTCTTAGTCAGGAAGGGACAAGGAGGAGAAGCAATGGGGCTGGACCAGAACCTGTGACCTTGGTGACTAAATCTCTCTGAACTTAACGAACGAGGAAACCAAACATATTTTGGAGGGGTTGGGGCGGGAACTAAATGGTTAGTGCGTACAGCACAGATTCTGGCTCTTGGTAATCATTATTTTTCTAAATGATTTGTTTTTGAAAATTGTGGTAAAATGCACACAACAAACGATTTACCATTGCAACCATTTTAAGGTTCAGCTCATGGGCAGGAGGTGCATTCCTTCTGTTGTACAGCCAGCACCACCTTTTCATCTTGTAAAACGGAAGCACCGTGTTCATTAAATACCTCTCTTTCCCCAGCCAGGGCAACTGCCATTCTCCTTCCTGGCTGTATGGGTTTGAGGAGTCTAGGTGCCTCTTGTAAGTGGAACCAGATGGTATTTATCTGTTTGTGAACAGATAAACAGAACATTATTTCAAGGTTCATCCAGTGATGATAGGTATCAGAACTTCGTGATCTCGTAAGGCTGGATAATCCTCCATCGTTTGCTTTATTTGCCCATTCCTCAGCTGATGGACATTGGGATTTCCACCTTTTGGCTGTTGCGAACACTGCTGGTATGAACACGGGCGCACAGGAATCTAGGCCTGGCTTTCAGTTCTTCCTAGTATATTCCCATGCAACTGCTAGGTCATGCGGAGGTTCCAGTTTTGATTTTTTGACGCCACTCCGTCCTATTTCCCATACATGGCACCATTTTGCACTCCAAGCAATGGTGTGCAAGGGTTCCAGTTTCTCCCCACCTTTGCCAATGGTTTTAGAGTGGCCATCCTAATGAGTGCGAGGTGCTGATGAGCCTGTTCTGAATGAATGAGTGAAGCGACTTTACCTGTCTGAACTGCTCTTGCCCCATCTATAAAGCAGGGATAAAATGCTATTATTACCAGTACTGCTAGAGGGCGCTGTTCTGTGACTAAGTGAATGTCACTTAAGTAGGATTACTGAGAAGACGTCCAAGCTGAGATGTGCTTGGTGATAGGCTAGCAATGGAGATGTCCTAGGGGAGAGGACAGTTCCAAGCACCGAATGTAGAGACCGAGGATGGGAGTAACTCAGCAGGTTGAAGAAACAGAAAAAGGACCATAGGGAAGGAGCCCAGAGAGAGAAGGGCCTTGTGCACCAGGCACCATTTTGAATTCTTCATGGGGAAAGAGATTAGGTGACTGCCCCAAGCCACAGAGGTAGTAATGACAAGGGTGGGACAGGCACCCAGGCAGTCAGGCTTGGGTCTGTGTGCTTCAGGCACGCCATACTGCCTCTGTGGCTTCTTGGGACAATGGGTTATTGGGGCATCACTTACACACTGCAAGGTCCCCCCACTGAAAGTTTAATGGTGCTTAAGTAAGCCGGCACTGTTGTATAACTGTCTTCACCCCCAAAACCCCTCCTGCCTGCTTGTTGTCAGTCCTAGCCCCAGCCCCAAGCCATTGTAGGTCTGTTCCTGATTCGGTAGACATTTTTCTAGAAGCACATAGAAATGGAACCATACAATGTGCACTTGTTTGTGTTGGCCTTGATCATTTAGCAAGGAGCTTGGGAGATTCATCCATCCACATGGCAGTATGTATCCATAGTCCATCTTTGTTTTTTATTGCTGAATAGTACTCCACAGAAGCATGCACAACATCCAGCATTTGACAGCCATAGATAATACGATAAAATGATCATTTGTGTAAAAGTCCATAAATGCTGTCTATCTATAGCTGTCTATACATCTAAATAGCTATCAATCATCTACCTACCTACCTACCTACCTACCTACCTATCTATAGCTCTCCTGCATTTTTCCCATTTTCTGTACAGAGAAACTAGGCTTAGGAACGCAACCTACCCCAGGTTATAGAGCTAGTAGACTTTGGAGCTGAAATTTACTGTTTTATTAAAGCAAACAAAGTCTGTTGGCGCTGCAGACACAATTCAGATGGCAGCAGATTTCTCATGCTAGACTATGGACACTAGAAGGAAGTGGAATGACATTCCTCAAATCCTTAAGAGAAGAACCATCAGCGTGGAATTCCACAGCCTTCAGCAATGAAGGGAAAATCAAGCGTTCTCAGATGAAGAAAAACCCAGAGAAACTGTTTCAGCAGATCTGAGAGAATCGGTACAAGGAGTTCTCAAAGTTGATGAAAGAAAATGATTTAAAAAATCTTAAGGAAAAAAGGAAAAAGAAAAGAGTAGTGAGGGTAAATAAAGTCACTTAAGACAGTTCCTCTGTGTGGTTATGCAAGCCACTCAGCATAGAGTTGGGTCATTAGTTTCAGTCTTCTATCAAATTTTAGGAACCACTGTGTCAAACGTGTCTCAGAATTGTGTAGAATATTTTCAGAGTTCCAAAGTCAAGTCTACCAAATAAAGCATATCCATATTGTGGGTAGAAGCTGGGTGCTGGGGAGGATGTGGAGGAGTTCCTGTCAACTGCTACCCCACAAGCTTGGGAGCACAGAAAAGGGTCCTGAAAGCTGACTGGGGAAGGGGTGGGGTCAGGGAGACTTCCTGGAAGGAAAAACATCTGAACTAATGTCCAAAGGAGGATGTGGAGGCAGCTGGGCAAGGACAGCCAGAACTAGGAACATGGCCACACTAGGTCTTTACTCTTGTCTCTATTACATAACAGCACTGTTAAGGCCTGGAGTCACACAGTGCCACACCGGTGCCACACGCTGGAATTCCACTCATCCTCAACGCCTGCCCAGACACGTGTAGCACAAGGCAGAGGCTGGCCCATTCCATTCAAGGTCATCTCTTTGGTCCTGATTACCATGGTGACCCCACCTGCTGAAACTCAGGAGCTGCCTGTCCCAGGAGACTTAGGGAAGGTTTGGAAAGAAATTGGCTACAGTCTTGTCCCTTGGTATTCTTGTTTATTTTTATTTCATGACCCAAGGTAACTGGAAGAATGGAGCAGTGTGAGGGCAGCCGCAGGGGCAGAGAGAATCTGGGAGGAGGGGACATGTGGTCTCAGAAGTATTGGGCCACAGCCCCTGGAGGGTTTTTGTAGACTTGCCTGGGTACTGAGATGCTAAACACAGCCACTTCTATCTGATGCAATGCCCGGCAAGGGTTGGGAAGGCTAGAGGAGGTGAGTAAGACGTCTCCTCTTAAGGTAACGACAGTAGATCCTGTTGAGGTTCTGTTACTCTCTCCTAGTAACAGAACCTCTGTTGTGAGACTGGGCCCAGGGCTGATTGGAACAAACCCACCAGACTCCCTGGTGGACAGGCGTGGCCACGTGAACTTGTATAAATGAATGCATACAACTTCCTCATTGTGCCCTTACAGGCCCTCTCCTCCCCATGGGATGGGGACGTCTTGGATTATACTGTTGAGAAACAGATGGAAGGAACTTGGACCCCTGTCATATCCACAGAGCAGAACTGCCACACTATTTTGGACTTTTAAGTGAGAAATACTCTTCTTGAATTTCAAAGCTTACACCTGAGTCTCTGGGAGGATTAGAAGTGTAGCCAATACTTGTGGGAATTCTTTTTGGCAGTACTGAGGCTTGAACTCAGGGCCTCCCACTTGGTAGGCAGGCTCTCTAGCATTTGAGCCATGACTCCAGCCCTTTTTTGCTTTAGTTATTTCTTGGTAGGGCCTAACACCTTGACCCTCCTACCCATGATTCTATGTAGCTGGGATGACAGGTGCACACTACCATGACTGGCTTGTTGGTTGAGATGGGTCTCACTTTTTGTCCTGGCTGGCCGTGAACCTCCATTCTCCTAATCTCTGCCTCCTAAGTAGCTGGGATTACAGGTGTGAGCTGCACCACCCCACCAGATGGTGGTTCTCTGATTCTAAGACTCTGACACTCTGGGATGGACGTAGTTCACTGAATGTGTTTCGCATGCAGCTCGGGCCACAGGCAGCCATGGGTAATTTAATTTCCCCAACAGGTCTACACTCCATTCAAGGAGGCAGGCCTCTGATCACAAGCCTGGATGCTACACGGTTCTCACTCAGTTCTGGATTGATATGATCACAGACCAGTAATGGCTCCTTCCCTGACCCCAGCTGGAGGGCCAATTGTGCAGGCTAATGACTTCATAAAAGGAAGAGGGATTTTCTTAAGGGCAGAGCAAAGACAAAGGGTGGGTAGAGAAAGAATGAGCAGTCCAACATGTGGATTCCAGTCTCTGGACCCCCACACAACTGCTGAGTGAACAGCTGAGAGGACTGGCTGTGTGATGAGGCTAAGGCAGGCAGCACCCAAACCTCACAGGCCCAGCAGGTGACACAAGTGAGGGAGGGAAGTGGTGCAGGCATGATGATAAACGGCTTTGGTTTTGGGGGCAACAGGGAGTGGTGGGGACTGTGGCAAACTGAGCATGCTGGTTCCACCTAAGGGCAGCAGTTTGTGGTAGATGCTATCTGGCTCCCTGGTAGGCAGTTCCAATTCCTTTCTGCCTTGCTAGCTTCTCCCTGCAAAGGATGACAAAGATAATCTTGCTTTTCCAGCATCCCTTGCAGCTTCAGGATGGCCTTGTTCTCTAGTTCTGGCCAAGGGCATTCTGGGAAAGACTTTTATTTTGTTCCCTGTCTCTTCCTCTGTCTGCCTTTCCCCTTCACCATATGAGGATGTGATGCCTAGAGTTATCGCAGCCATCTTGGGCCATGAGGGTAAAGCAAAAGCCCCACAATGCTGAGATGGAAGGCCTGAAAAGATGTGAAGAACCTGGTCTTTGGAGACACAGTTGAGCTGCCAAACCAACCCTGGAGCCATATGGCTTATTAAATACATGACAAGTGTGACTAGGGTTTAAGCTGAGTTAGTGGGGCTTTTTTATCACTTGCAGCTCAAAGCATTCCTTATTCCAGTCAACCTCTCCCTTGCAGGAATGTGAATTGAATGTGGCCAGAGCTGCTTTTCCAAGAGAAGGTTCAGGAAGACAGAACAATG